CGCCATACACAGTTTAACAGAAAAATTACAAAAGTTTTGAAAGCTACAAAGCAGCATATGTTTAAGGATCAATGCTGCAGTATTAAATGCACGCATATATTTTTCTATTTTTTCAGTTTTTTTTTTTTTTTTTTTTTTTTTCAGTTTATCATATCAACGTTCAGTTTTCTTTGTTGTAAGATGGCTTGCAAAACTTTTTTTTCTCCCTATTTTTAACGTTTCGTGGGTTAATTTTATTAAATACATATCATTTTCTTATTCGTATTTATGCCACATAAAATTCAACCCAATAAGCAAAATCACAAAATATTTAAAAACAACCTATCGTCAGAATTTTCGATAGACAGTCTCCCGCGCTGGAGATCAAAATGATTTATTCTGTACACTGTTACTCGCTTTCAAATCTTTTTTTTTTTTTTTTAGCCCGAAAGGGCAATTTGCCCAGAAGGGCTATTAATTTCGTTTTGGCATTTTGCGTTGGTTCACTATAAAAGTCTGAATCACTTTTCAAATTGTTGCTACCAATTATTAGAACCCTAAATTATATTTAAAGAACTTAAATAATGAAGAATTTGCATGAATGCATGTATGTTTCTCGCACTGTGATAAAACAACGGTACTTAGAGGCATCAAATTTTGAATAACGGGTAGTCCTCCACTCGAATATGGGCATCTGGAAGCCCAAATTTTGAATTTGTTTTATTATCTATTTCATATTTTTTATAAAACTTCGATTAATTTTTGATTAACAAACTCAACGATCAATTTAGAAGTCAAACAACAAAAATCAACGTTATATTTGCACTAACCGCGATACACTAACAGACTCCTTCGGTGAACTCGACGACCCACTCAGCACTCGCTGCCCGGCTATAAACGCGATCGACTCCGCAGGTATTGACTCGCTAGACGAGACACCTACTCGATACTGACTATCTCGCACTCTAGACAAGGCACATTGCCCTCTGGTCATGGCACACACTCGATGAGAGACACACACTAACTGACTGCGGACCAGCAGGGTTTATATAGCTTTCGGTTTGTGTTCGAGAACATTGTGGGCTAAACCGGTAAGAATTCGCTCCAGAAGGTTCTCCATCCGTCCATGGCATATCGCCAATTTTGTCGCCAAAGGGGGTTTTTCGCCAAATATGGCAACCTTGCCTTCCATTGCCATTTTATGGCAACCTAAAACTGCTTTGCGAGGAAGCCATCTTACCGCGCCTGTACATTTCGTAACAATATTATCCGGTAATGAAAGTTTTTAAGATCGTATGATATGTCATTTGTTTTAAATAAACAGCATTTAGGTGCATATTAAAATGTAATTTTTTATTCTCATCTTTTCCTTACTTTTAAACTTACTTTTTACCATTTTTATGTCCGGCGTTTAACGCACACCCGTAAATTTTGATCTTATTTTTCGTATCAAAAGTGCGGGTTATAAGCCGGAATATACGGCAATTAAAATCTTGAAATCTTCGCAACATGGTATTTGCCACATATATATAACTGAAATGTATTCGCGCACAGCATAAAAATGTTTTGCGGTCTGCATGCGGCACGAGAAACCAGTTTGAGACAACTGGTATAAAAGATAAAATTACTGGGTCTAAGGAATACTCGAAAAAAATTATCCTCTGGAAACAAAAAATAACAAATTAAAAGTTTGTAAGCAATATTCATAGTAACAGTAATCTTACTAAAACAGATAAATCAATTGTTAACTCTTTTCGGCACGCTACCTTTTAAAGTCGGAGTTTTGATTAAAAAAAAGGGGGTAGGCAGTCTAATTAGGCCTAGAGGAGTACACAAGTAAAATTTTGTGAAGATAGAACTTATCGTTTTAATTCTGTCGGTGTGCCCAAAGTGGCACACTGATTGAATAGAGCTTCGAAAAGAGTGCTGAAACGAGCATTGTTGTCAATGAACTGACCGATGAGATGCGGAGAAACAAAGAATACAGACTCTTAGTTGTTCTAGATTATCGGCGAGCCCGGTCTGTGCACACCTAGGGTTCGCCGTTTGATTTTAGGCAAGATTTCAAGGTAAAAATTTAAAACTAATATAGAATAAGGAGATTAGAATACAGCCAAAAATATAACATAGAAATTTCTTTTCAAACAGTTCCTTTTATACCCTAATAAAATCTGGAAGATTTCTTTGAAAAATGAGGGTCTTCAAAAACTAAACATGGCTAAAATATATGGACTGGTTTATGTAGATCTGTCATCTACTAAAAATAAAGAAGGTTCAGAGTAATCTATAAATCCTTGGAGGCACATCATTTAATTGTATAGAAGAATTCGAGTGAACGGAAAAAAATTATGACGCTGCTTTGGAGATAATAAGAAGTAGATGTGAACACAAAAACAGTTTTATATACGTTCTTTTAATATAAGTTGCTTAAAATTCCTGTTGTTAGAAGTCAAAATAATTTAATTGGATTAAGAAGTTTTTTTTTTTTTTTTTTTTTTTTTTTTTTTTAATTTATTTTTGTTGTTGAAGCGGAAGGGGATACTCAAATTAGATATTTTAAAAAATCATTAGAATTTGATACAAAACTTCAGTTTTAGTTTTTTTTTTTTTTTTTTTTTGTGTGGTGTGTGTGGTGTGTGTGTGAAGATTTCCAAAATCTTGTTTCAGAATTCAACAGAGTATATCTAGACTGTGACCGGAATTTTAAGATTTATTTAATTCCTAAGACTGAAAATCATCAGAACTGTAGTAACGAATTTAAAAGTAATTTTCGGAAATTTGTAAAAAAAAGCTTAGTACTGATCGAAATCTATCGATTACAAATGCTAAAAAAAGCTATATGCAGTGTACTCTCGATTATCCGGCTAAGATTATCCGATTCGCGGATTATCTGTGCATGGCAAATCCAACGCTTCTCAATTCAAAATTCGTAACACACTCACGCGTGCACACCTAACGCTATCCAAAAGGATGAGTAAAAAACGAACACACACAAACCCGAACACTCCCTTAAAAACTGTTGAACTGAATCTTCAGGTCTAGTTTCTACGCATATCTGTGATAGTTCGTTCTGCATGTGCATAGTCCAAAGAATCGCTTCGGTTCACAACTGGGAAATTTTTGTTTCGTATGTATTTTCGTTTGTATTCTCTTCTTATCCTTTTAAAAACAAATTTAAAATTTTAGAACCAAAAATTGTACAAAGAACATGCTACAAGTACTATATGCGGGGCAGAAAAAGCTTGATCAAAAATAAAACCAGTCTAGTCATGGACAGCACTAGTCCAGTAGTGGACAAAGATTTTTCTTAATATGGAAACCGAAGCTTTATCTAATTGCTAAGAATTCCAAAAGAACTTGGGTAATAACAGAAGTTGTTGTCCATAAAAATAAAAACGTCAAATTCTTCGAAAATTTCAATCGGGATAAAAGGTATTTTCTAACTCCCTTTCGCATGCCTTCGTGGTGCAACGGAAAGCATGCTCGACCCTTTAATCGAGAGGTCCGAAGTTCGAATCCCGGCAACGGCATTGCGGATTTCTTCAGTTATAAACAAACTCGCAATCAGTTACAAACAACTGAAAGCACACTCGACGCGAATTCAGGAGGTCCGCAGTTCGAATCCCTGGCGAGGGTATTGGACATTTTTCATGATCCTGCATCCGTGTAACCTTATGATCCTACAGGAAAAAAACATCGAGGAATGATTCGGTGACGATTCGACTGAGCCGGCCTGTCAAATGTCACAAAAGCAGAAGAGGCAGAGAGTGCTATGGAAAATATAAGCAAAGAAAATACTGTATGTGCATTAGTTCCAAAACGGCAATGAATTATTTTGAAACTTCGCTGGACTGCATCGACCAAAGGGAATTCAAATACAGTGATATAAATAGTACTAAATAAAGAAATGTACAGTGAAATTGGACAATGACTTAAACGTTCTCCAAAACAAAGTACTGCTTTTCAGCCCAAAGGGACAATTAACCCAAAAAGGCTACTAATTTCCTTTTGGCATTTTGCGTCGTCCACTATAAAAAGGCGTTTCGCTTTTCAAATTGTTGCCACGAAATATTACAGCCCTGCATTGAAATTGCATAGTGAAGAATCTGCATGAATGTATGCACATTTCTCGCATTGTGAATAAACAACGGCACCTAGAGACATCGTATTCTGAATAACCTTGTTGTATCTCTCAATAGAATTCTAAAAGGTAAAAAAAGATCTCTTACCTTTTCTTTCACCCGGGAGCCGAGCTTGTTCCATTCCAAATTCTTATTCGATGAAATATCTAAATAATTCCAAGCTTTTGCATAAAGACTGACACTTCTGTATAAATAAAGATATTATATTTAGATACATTTATACATTTTATATACAATTATTAGATTACATGAAATTACGCGCTCTCCATCTAACAGTCATTCGAGTTCGGATTCAGAGTTCTAACTACGTTCTTACGTAGGATTATTCTCGAGTTTAGATGTAATGGTGCTGATAGTTCGGAGTTTAGATGTGGAGGCGCTGATAGTTCGGAGTTTAGATGTAACATGACCTCCCACCATTGAGATCTAATGATGCGGAGGAACTCAATACACACAGGTCCAGTCGATGAGGAGGCCGAACAACTCGTCCAGCTCTGGTCATGACTCGAGGACTTAAAGGCAGGTTCTGGAATACTAGCAGCCTGATCAGCCTGACCAGTTGCATGGTCGTTTCTATCTCGAGGTGCTCTGTCGGGGAACGGAGGGCCAACGGATTCGGAAGTAGAGATCTCCAACGGGAAAAGCCGGGGCACTGGACGAAGCAGAATTCCATTTCTTGTCTTGACCCTCGCTAGTCTAACTATTCCGTCTTTACTGGGAAAAAGCTCGACTATCTTGGCTAAAGGCCAATGTATGCGTCGTCTCTGGCTGTCTTCCAATAGAACGACATCGCCTACTTGCAACTGTTGAAATTTTCCCTTCTTTATTGCCTGTTGTCTCAACTGACCAAGATATTCATTACGAAATCTGTTTCGTAGATCATGTCTTATTCTCTGTCGGTATTTGGCTCGGCGGTTTACGGTTTAGTTCTTTGGAATCTACGTAGTCCATATCAGGAACTCCTGATGACGGCAATTCTTGCAGGAACATCATAGGGGTCAGTGGTGATGGATCTTGATTATCCTCTGATACGTATGTGATAGGTCGCGAATTAATCACTTGTTCACAGTCACATAATATAGTATATAATTCTTCATAATTTAAGGACGTTCGACCTAACACTCTTCTTAAATTTTCTTTCACCATTCGCACAAGCCTCTCCCACCAACCTCCCCACCAGGCGGCGGTCGGAGGGTTGAACTTCCATCGTATCCTTTGGATAGAAGCAGCTGAACATATGGCGTTCCAATTAACTTTCTTAAGAACACTGTTAGTCCCTACAAAATTAGTTCCGTTGTCGGAATATATCACATAAGGTCTACCTCTTCTGGCAATGAATCTACGTAAAGATTGGATGAAAGTTTCAGTAGATAGAGAAGTAACTAGTTCGAGGTGAATGGCTCTATAAATGGTACATGTATACAAGATTAAAGTGCTGACACCAGCATGCTGGAGTTCTAGATGTTTCTCGTAAATTAGTCTCTCAACAAGTATATGTTTTGAAGGTAAAATGATAGGATATCGGAAATTTTCATTATCTTGACGCTGTAGGACGTTCGTTTTGGCTCTTAAAATTCCATTTTGGTCTAGGATTGGTCTCAGCGCACGAATAGCGGGATCGTTTATGCCTGTAAATGATTCTTTCTGTACCAATCTACAAAGTGCCTTTTCAGCATTCTCCAATTCATCAACTGAGACATCAGGAGTGAGGTTTTTATCTTTGTTCTTTAAATTGTGATAAAACCTGAAAATCCAAGCGATCATTCTCACGGTTTTTCTATATGAAGAGAAGTATTTGTAGTACCGGTCCAAATTGTCTCCATGATCTAGAAGAGTCAGAATCGTTTTCCTTTTTTCCTTGTTTATAAGTTCTTCATCAGGCTTTTCTTCTACATGGGGCCACTCGTCTTCTGGTAAGTAAAGCCACGATGGGCCCTCCCACCATGCCGATTTCTGTAATTGCTCAATAGTACATCCTCTCGATGGGAGATCCGCTGGGTTTAAACTTCCAGGTACATGCCTCCAGTCAGATATTCTGGTAAGCGATCTTATTTCTTGTACTCGATTGTGAACAAACGTACCCCATGCTTGATCCCCTTCTTATCCACCCCAAAGCTGTAGAAGAATCACTCCAGAACACTGTTCTACAATTCTTAAGTTTCAAATCTGATAGAATTGTTTTGGCAAGCCTGGCACCTATCAGACAGGAAAGAAGTTCAAGCCGTGGAATCGTAAGTTCCTTAATAGGGGCTATTCGACTTCTCGCGCTTACTAACTGAACCTTTACACCTTCGATGGTTTCAGCTCTTAAAAATGCACATGTGGCATAGGCTCTTTTACTAGCATCCGAAAAAACGTGGAGCACTACGGTATCTTCGTTTTCGTAATCAATATTTAACCAACGAGGAATTTCAATCTGAGATAGCAGAGGCAATTGGTTCAACCAAGTCCCAAACTGCTCACTTAGGGAAAGAGGAAGATCTTCATCCCACTTAATCTTCTGGTTCCAGGTTTCTTGCAAAATTAGCTTAGGAATTACAGTTATCGGTGCAGTAAAGCCAATGGGATCAAAAATTTTCTGGGTAATTGACAAAACTTTTCTTTTGGTAATAGGTTCCCTCAAGTTAAATATTTCTTCGATCTTGCAACTCAAACTATCTTTTTCTAAATCCCATACTAATCCTAATACTGGGACAACTTTCGTCTTGCATTCTCTATCTCATCGATCATGTCAATGCGAAAATTTGATCGCCAACATCTCAAATTGAAATGCCCTGAAGCCAAAATCAATCTTGCTTCTTGAACGAAATTTTCGGCTTCATCTACTTGATTTAAGCTAATTAACGAATTATCGAGGTAAAATGAATCCTTCAAAATATTAGAAGTTTCTACAAACTTTTCTGGGACTGTAGTCAAAAAGGTGACTAAGTGTAGCGGCTAGCAGAAACGGACTTGATGTGAGTCCAAAAACAACTCGGTTATGTCTGTAAATTTTAAACTTATGTTGATTATCGAACCATAGAAACCTTAAAAAATCTCTATCCTTTTCTGCTATTTTGATTTGACAAAAAGGCCTTTTCGATATCAGATGACACTCCTATGCGATATTTTCGAAAACGATTCAATATACGTGGAATAATTTCTATTAAATTTGGTCCTTTACTCAAACAATCATTGAGAGAGAGGTGAATTCTTAGAACGTGCAGATGCATTGAAAACAGGCCGTATCTTTGTAGTTTCACTAGACTCTTTTATTACAGGTCTGTGTGACAAGTAGTGCACTCCTTCCTCTTTTTTCTTAGTTACTATCTCAATAATGTCCTTCGTTTCCCACTCATCAAATATTTCTTCGTAATCTTTTCTTCTGCGTGTGTTAATTAGTTTACTTTCGGTTTTGACGAGGTGTCTTTCTGCCATAGTACGGTTACTGGATAAGACGGATTTATCTAAAATAAAGGGTAAGGTTACTTCATATCTCCCTGAGCTATCTCGTTTTAAACTTTTTTAAGAAATGTTTTCGAATTTCTTCTTCCAAGACACTTTTTGTTTTGTTTTCCTCACTTGAAATCCCCAAGGTGTCTAAACGCCAAAGATTGGACAAATTTGTATCGGAAACATGTAAGGATAAAGAAAGAAAAGAACGGACAGGGAACTCGACGTATTCGCATTCTCTTTAATCTTGCCCATTAAAGTCCAGCCTAACTTGGTCTCAAAGGCTACGTAATCCCCCGCAAAATGTTCAATTCTTTCAGTGAACAATTGTGCTGCGGTGTCCGCTCCTAACAGCATATGAATCTCTTCCGGATTTTCTTGAAACAGACAGAGATTTCCATTCTCATGATTGTCGTTGATAAGGATTCCCCTTTTTTCCATTACTTTAATCAACTTTTCGTCTTTGATCTTAGGTAGTGACGAACAAATTTTCCTCTGGTCTAGTGCTTCGATTTTACACCTGTACTTTCCATCTAAACTAGTTAAATCTATTTCATAACGATTATGATCTTCCGAAACTTCTACAACCCATGTTTAATTCTTTCAGTTCCTATCTTTTCTAATTTCAACGTTTTAGCAGCATATTGACTTATGTACGTGTTCTGACTTCCGGTGTCTATTAGCAATCTTAAATAACCCTTTAAGGTTTTCCCAGCTACCCCTACGACCAAAGTTTGTAAATAAACTTCAGAACGGTTACTTTGATTCGAAAGTACTTTATTTTCAACTTCCTGGACAGTTTTGATCGTTCCCTTTTTACTCTCGGAATTAATTCTGTTGCACATAATCGTAGAATGCTTAGAGTGACAATGGGAGCAAAAAATGTTAGAATCACAAAATTTGCTGATGTGACCCTTATTTTGTAAACACCTAAAACAAGTGCCATTTTTTGCGTAGTATTTCAACCTTTTCGTCATTCGTTGTTAGTTTCTGGGCAATAGGACATTTATGGCTTGAATGGGAAAAATCTCCGCAAAAAACGCATGCCTTAATCAATTTTTCTTAATACTCGTGGACACTAAATCAGAAGCACAAGAAGCTTTCGTTTCTAATTTATCGCTCTTTCCGTCGCTGAAATGACGAGTGCTTATTTTCTGTACTGCAGACGCAGACTGACTATTCCCTGTCAAATGCTCTGAATTCTTATTTATGACTTCCGCCCTTTCGCGTGAATCTAAACATTGAGCTATAATCAAGCACATGCTTTTAATATTACAATAAGCACTTCCATTACTCATTCTGTTAATCTCAAGCAAAATATCTTGGGGAAGTGATTTCAGAATTATTGGACATAACACACTCGATACATTCTCGAGAGACTGACCCAAATTTTCTAAACATCTTAATTCGATAGAAATATTATCATAAAATTTTCTAAAGGCGCGAACATCATTCGAGATTTTCAACGGTTTAGTGTTCAAAATGTTATTTATGTGAGTGTAAATGAGCACATCTGTTTTCGCAAATCTTTCTTTTAGAAGATCAATTGCGGAATCGTAATTAGCAGCAGTAATCGGTAATCCTTTCGACTGTATTTAAAGCAGAACCACCTAAATGAGCTTTCAAATAATTAAATTTGTCTATTTTATCTAATGAATCATTTTTATGAATGGCAGACTCGAAACTGTTCCAAAAGGTTAGCCAGTTGTTTATATCTCCGTAGAATTTCGTTAAGTTAGTTAACTTAGGTAATTTAATTCGAACAGACTCGTTATGTTTTGTTTTTCGCTTTGACTGTCAGTACTGAACTGGTTATTTACTACCGTTTCAGTAGATTTGCGTTTTAATTCGTCGATTCTTTTGGAGGTACGGAAACTGCATTTAACGACCTTTTGACGATATTCTTCAGATTTTGGAATTCAGCATCAAATTCTTCGACTTTAAAAAGAGGTTCTAATTCTGTATCGACACTTTTAAGCGATTCGAAATTATTCTTTAATATTTCTAAATTTTCTTCCCAAATCATGAATTTTCGGATCAATTTCCGAAAGCTGCGATTCCAAATCTTTAAGCGATTTCGTTACTGATGTTCGGAGAGCTGCGCGCTTCTTTTTTAATTTTTTTTAAAATCTCTTCAGACATGTTCTTAACAGTTCAAAAAATTCAAAAAGTAATCAATAATTGTATTCTTAATCTTTATTTCTAATTTAAATTCTTATTCTTAGCTCGGGCGTCCGGGCAGGGATGCCAAAAATATTGTTGTATCTCTCAATAGAATTCTAAAAGGTAAAAAGAAAACTCTTACCTTTTCTTTCACCCGGGAGCCGAGCTTGTTCCATTCCAAATTCTTATTCGATGAAATATCTAAATAATTCCAAGCCTTTTCATAAAGACTGACACTTCTGTATAAATAAAGATATTATATTTAGATACATTTATACATTTTGTATACAATTATTAGATTACATAGAAATTACGCGCTCTCCATCTAACAGTCATTCGAGTTCGGATTCAGAGTTCTAACTACGTTCTCACGTAGGATTATTCTGGAGTTTAGATGTAAGAATGCTGATAGTTCGGAGTTTAGATGTGGTGGCGCTGATAGTCCGGAGTTTAGATGTAACAACCTAGTCCTCCACTCGGAGGACTAGGTTGTTACATCTAAACATCTTCCACATTTGGAACGCATTGTGAATAAACAACGGCACCTAGAGACATCGTATTTTGAATAACGTAGTCCTCCACTCGAATACGGGCATTTGGAAGCCGAAATTTGGATTTTGTTTTATTATTTATTTCATATTTTGTAAACTTTAACTAATTTTTATCAACAAACTCAACGATTTCAAAGAGAGCAATGGCAACAACAACAAAAAAAATTATCTTCAGCGCGCGAGATTGTGTATCAGAAATTCTAAAGACAGTTGCCCTTAGTTGCATATAGATAAGGGCCTTTATTGAATTATTTTGCGATATTGCTGTTGAATTGAATTTTATTGTTTAAGTACGAAGAACATGATATTTAATTAAAAAAAAAGGTAGCCTACAAAACGTTAAAAAACGCCCCTTTGGACGTAATAAGAAATCTGAAAGATTTATTATTTTATTCTTTCTTTCTTTCTTTTAACATATAAACACATACAATATACACGGAAACTGATAATTTGGATTATCCGTGCTTTTCAATTACCCGTGATCTTCTTCTCCGTCATTAGCCCAATTAACTGATAATATAATGTATTTTTTAACAGTAACCACCATGCGATTTCGAAAGAGCACGGAAAAAAACTAAATTAGAAAGAGATAATTAATGTTTCGTTATTTCTCAAAAT